CTTGAACTAAATCCTTACTACTCCTATCTCTTTGTTTGACTAACTTATACATATATCTTTCTCCCTCCTTAGTATCTAAACTATTATATAAATCACTAAAAGTTAAGATCTTTGCATTGCATATTGCTTTCTTAGATTCCTTACGAGTCGTTTTATATTTTTCTCAATTATCAGAATTTTTAAAATTAAACCAATTTTTATAACAAATCTTCTTATTCTTAATCTTTTCTTGCACATTTGGATTCCACAACCAACTATTTCTACTATTAGGAGTTTTTTACTTTGATACTCCAAGCATATCTTTTGTAATATTCTTAATATCACTAGCCACTTTTTCCCACATAACATTAGCATCCTCATGCACAGATAAAATCTTAAGATCTAAAATCTTACTCAAAAAAATATTTTTATTAATATTCTTTAAAAGCTCCCATCTAATCTTAGAATATCGTTTTACTTTATTTTTTATTATCTGCCCCTTTATCTTAAAGTCGATGTTGGGTACATAAATTTTCACTAGGAATAACTTTACAATCTTTGCAATATAAACGATCTAATTTTCTTATAAGAAAATAGTCAATCTGAGTTGTACTATATCCATTTTTATAAGTGATGAGATGCTCATTCTTTTTCTTAAATAAGGTATTAGCAATTGAAAAATCATAAGCTAAACAAAAATCTAATTTGGTCTTGCCACCTTCATTTGTTGTTCCAAAACAATAGCCACCATGAATGCTTTTAAAATCACTACCTCTCTACTAACATGTCATTTAAATCTCCTCTAATAAAAACTCTTTCTTCTATAAGTATCTTTTGTAATAATTCTTCGAAGTTATTTCAAAAATTTAATTTAGAATTCATATCCAAACCTACTTGAGGAGCATAAGCACTTATAATATTAACAATCTTATCATCAACAATAATCTTTAAAGCTATAATTCTATCTCCAATCTTATTAATTTTTTATAACATTATCCTTCAAACTCTTATTTATAATAACACCTACACCATTTTTAGTACGACTCCTACCCGAATACCAAAGTTTAAATCCTAAACTATCAATTTCCTTAGCATTCTCTCCAACCCATTTAGTTTCTTGTATGCTCAAAATATTTATCTTCCTATGAATCATAATATCTATTAATTCTATTAATTTTCCTGTAAGGGAACCTATATTCCAAGTTCCTATCCTAATTTTAGTTTCATGGAGTAGCTTCTTTGCCCACATCCGTTCTTGATGTGGGAACCCTTGCTAATTTAACATTACAACCGGGCGCCGGTGCAACGGCCCTTGCACACTTGTCACTGTATTCAGGCCATATAGCGCGTCGCTTCCAGGGGACACCCTAACATTAACACAATTTCTTAAATGATTCATGTCATTATTATTCGACAAATTTTACGCTGGCTGTCGACTACCTAACGCAACCCCCTACTTTTCTCATCTAGGACTTGGGACCTGGCAACGGTAGTGTTATATGTTTTTTTTTTTTGGGTCCAATTGACCAAAATTATAGAAATCAATTCATTTCAGATTACTCAATTTTCTGATGTCCTCCATAGTTGGTTACCCAAAATTAAATTTATCAACCAATGCAAATTCAAAAGAAGGCAGAGTTTTAATTTTCTCATCAGTGTTGTACTTTACCGCAGCACAAGAAAAGTTATAACCCACCCTCACTTGACATCGCGCCTTTGAAGGATTTGGATGGACCAAAATTCTCCTAAACCGATTTCTTACAAAAAAGATTAGATCAGTTAGCAATCTCGTATGACAGGGAAGCTCCTTCTCCATAGGAAGATCCGAAGCCTCAAGAACAGAACTCATCACAAAAACCCTAGAGTTAGCAACTAATACCTTTGTGTTGATGCTAAACAGCTAAAGAAAAGATACAGGAACGAAAGATTGGTAGAACCAACCCCTACGCCAAAAATTGATGGAAAAAGAGAGATCTGTACAGCAATCAACAATCTCTAAACGAAATTGCTCATGAGAGCTCCAAGAAACCAAGAATCTGACATAAGTAATTGTAGAAACCAACTTGCTGCGGAGAGGAAGAACACTTCCTCTTCTTGAAGTTGAGAGAGGAGGAGGAGGGAGAGAAGAGAAGGGAAGAGGGAGGCAGCCAAACAGAAATCTTTAATATTTCTTTAAACCATCCACAGCCTATTACAATCTATACCTATTTATAGACTTCTAAGGCTATACAAAAGCAACACAAAAGGCTTTACAAGCCTAAATAACTTAAATCTAGGAACAAAAGCCAATAAATCTCCACCTTGGTCCTAGATTACATAACAAAGCAATCAACTGTTCTTAAAGAACAACCAAGAAGAATAAGTTGGGTAAACCAGGGGACGTAATCCTAAAAAACCGAGAGCACAGCAGGTATCAGCTCACCTGCACTTCCAGCGTTTAGGTAAGGATCAAGATCTTACGGCACAAGCAGCTTCCAACCGGCCATCAAACCTATAGCCTTTCACAGAGATGAAGAACAAACCAGAGGAGAACAAGAAGGGTACACCTTTTTCACACAGAAATCCCAAGATTTCACTCCCCAAATATTATCTCTTCCACAAGAAGCTCAAAGAAAACCGTTAACAAAGACCTAATCCTTACTTGCTCTCACACCCAAATAAATCTTCTTCGGTCGTCACAAACCCACGCCTTGCACTGCCGCGTCCGGCCAGCGCCCTTCGTGTCTTCCGCCAGTGCCATGCGCTCCTATGCGATCTTCCTCGTGTACCACACGAACTCGCACCTCCAAGCGCTCTGCAATCCCGGCACAACTCAAGAACATGTCAACTCCACCTCAAAGATCTAAATCGATCTTTCGCTTCTCGCGACTCCCGCGCGATCACAAGCTAGCTTTCCTCTTGGGCAATCAAATCATGAAACCAACGTCTGTCTTGAACATATCTCCCAGTTCGGACCAAACAATCTCCTGTCTCCTGCCAAACCATACCAGCCGGCTTCGCCTTCTTCTACGCGATGCTGCCTTCCTCACCGTCGAACTCCAGCTTCCGGCTTCTCCTGGCACCGCCTCCAGTCCGCAGCACACACCAGTGCTGCCTCACGCGCCTCCGACAACTTCGTCGAACCAAGTTCGGCGTCCAAACTAGTCCAGCCGGCTTTTGGATCTTCCATCGACTCCGACCTCGCAGCTGGCCTCCGCCTTCGATGCCTCCGGCCAGCAGCTCCCTTCATCGAGTCTGGCGAACCTCGCCAAGAAGCACAAGCGGCCACCTTTGCCGCTTTGTCCGGCGCCAATCAAGCGCTTCAAGCATGATCACCAAGCTCTGTTCCCATTTCGGGACCAAAACAAGCCTGTTTTCTCTCCGTTCACTCCTGATCAAGACTCCCGCAAATGAACACCCAGCACGGTCCTCCCGCGAGGCTTCAGCGATCCGCATCCACGACTCCGGACTGCACCTTATCTGCACGGACCTGTCTACTTCGGCCCGCTTCCACTCTTGCCGACTTGCCGCCTTCGACGCTGGACTCACTCTAGCCCATCTGCTCGACTCCCGGATCTACTGCCCACAAGCCGTGGGACTTTCGGCTTCTTATGCTTGACACCTGCAAGCCGCTGGACAAAGAACTGTACTGCGTGCACCCGACTCCTTCCTCCCGATTTCGCACGTCCGTGACGGCAATGCAAGCCCCATCTAAGGGTCTGCACTTGCTCTCCTGCGTGCACGAACAACCTGCTCGCCTCCGGCTTCTCCGATCAATAAGCCCACGCTACTCCAGCGTTTCTTGCGATCAAGACTTCATGCACTTCCTCAATCAAGACCGCGTGCACTTCCTCCGGAGTCTGTGCACATGCACGTGCAATCTCCTTCCGTCAAGATCCCGCAAGTCTTTCGATCCGTGTCAAACAACCAAAGCCGCAGAACCTGCTTTGTATCTTGTGATCAAAGCTCCTCACTGCTCCCTTTCTTGAATCAAGAAGCTTCAAAAAACCTCTTGTCCACCGGCAAGCCAAGACCGACTGCAAGAAACGCGAGCCGCAACCCCACTCGCCTCTTCTTGCGATCGAAGCCTGCTCTCACTCGACGACCGATCTTGCCAACCAGATCTTCGTCCGGCCTTCGGCCGCAATCGATAAACCGACAAGCCTCCAGCAGCCGACCTTAGTCCGCCTCACGCGAACAAAGCCGGCACCGCCCTCTTCCGATTAGAATCAGTTTCTTTAGACAAGAAACCTCCTCTCCTCCACCTCGCGATCGCCTCAACGAGGCTCTGATAACATATGTAGAAACCAACTTGCTGCAGAGAGGAAGAATACTTACTCTTCTTGAAGTTGAGAGAGGAGGAGGGAGAGAAGATGGAGGCAGCCAAACAGAAATCTTTAATATTTCTTTAAACCATCCACAACCTATTACAATCTATAACTATTTATAGACTCCTAAGGCTATACAAAAGCAACACAAAAGGCTTTACAAGCCTAAATAACCTAAATCTAGGAACAAAAGCCAACAGTAATAAGTAGGTTATATTAGTTATTTTTGGGATTGCCATCCAATTGTTATGATGAGGTATTTTGTAAGTTTTTTAAGTTAAAAGGAGTATGAAATACCCACAGATGCTTAGCTTGGTTGGTGGGCGAGCACGGTTGGGTACCTCCCATCCCTTGTTCGATTCCCTCGGGCGATAGCACCCCTTTCGGGGGGACCAAATAAGAGTTGACCACGAGTTCTAATGGGTGTGGATAGCTCGTCTAGTCTGACCGGGGTTTACGTATCGCCAAGCGCTCTCGGCTAGCTTGGGGGTGACAGCGAACAGTTCCTCGTCAACAAAAAAAAAGTAGTATGAAATTTCGGTAAAACAATAAAAAAAAAACTCCATTAATTGAGGTTATCAGCATGCCAGACTATCTATTTTGAACTCTGTATTTTATTAATGTATGTAACTGTTCAAGCATCTATTGTACAAGGTTGTAAGATCAGTAGACAGATTTTGATTAAATTGATTTTTCATGGTTTTTGAATGCCAGACCGGCGGCCTGAGCAACCGGCAGAAACAGCACAAGAAGGCCATGCCTCTGGCTGCCAAAAGAGATAGAGCAGCTCGTTCTCGGCAAGAGAAAAAGCAGCGGCAAAAGCGTTCAGGGAAGCAGTTCAAGGGAAGGAAAGCTTGGAAGTGAGGCTTCACATATCCTCCATTTGTTTATTTTCTCAACTTCCAACGCCTTCAGGAAGAGCTTAAGTTAATTGATTGGATAAAAAGAAGAGAAGGAAAAGAGAGGAAAATTTTGTTATCTTGGACCATCATAATATTTAAAACTATTTTATTTTTTTAATTTTATTGTGCCCATTTGTGAGACATTTAGAAAATAATTTTGGGTCAGATGTATGGTCATTTTTTTTTGTTAGAGTGGATCTTAAAAGCCGTTGTATTGAGAATTAATTTAGATTTAAAAATTAGTTTATATTTGAAAAATGCAATTTTAATATTATATCTGCTTATGCGCACCGCGAGTTTTCGGTGAAATTATTCTGTGCGGTCACTAAACGACATAAAGAGGCGAATTATAATGTGCCACATCATTTTTTTGTTGTGTACCGTTGTTGTTTATAGCTCAGTATTGAGTGATGCGAAACATTTTGATTCGTCTCTGAACCGTTAGGTGATCACATAATAATTTTTTTGAGTATTTGAGTCCGTCCATAAACTATTAGCAGATGAATCTTTGCAATAACAATTATGTCCCATACGATATGACAATGCTATAGAAATACGATTGCATGAAATTAGGCTTTATTTTGGGTTAATTTGTTTTGAGATAAGTATTTATTTTGGGCTTTATTATGATGTTAAAACTTTTTAATGATTTATTCAAATTTTTTTAGTTAGATAAAAAAAGAATAGAGCATAATGGAAGATAATGTAAAATGGATGAAATATATTTAAAATATTTGAAAAAGTTTAAAGTAAGTGTAGATAGTTCTTTTTTTTTGACTTGCAATAAAATGAATGTGGTGTAGAGATCAATAATGGTGGTGGTTGGTGTTGGTGGCGGTTATTGCCGGGTGGTGGTGGCAGCAGGTGGTGGAGGGCAATGTCTGCTGCCATTGTCAGGCAGTGGCTGCATTGTCAGGCAGTGGTTGCTGACAAGTGATGGCTGGCATTGGGCGGCAGTGGTGATGTAATTACTGATAAATTATATTGTATTTGAAAATCAGTAGTTGAATTTTACATATATTGAAATATTATTAAGATGAAAATGAATATATTGTAAAGAATTTTAAATATAATGCAAAGTTTATTTCTATGATATTTATTATGAATAAAAAGTAGATTAGTTAATTAGACTTTTGGATTTATATTTTTTATTTTGTTATTGTATGGTAAACAAATTTGAAAATGAGTTTTGAACTTGTAATTAATTAGACTTTGTTTTCCACCATCGCTGTTTCACTTTTATTTTTTTTGACAATTTTAGCCAACAAATCATTTAAAAATTATTCAGCTCAAAAAATGAATTTCATAACGTCACTAGGAAGGATCAAATTATTTTGTGTGTATACCGAACGTTATCCGGAGACCAATAAAAATGCATCACGTCACTCTTTTACTTACCCTGACTTAGTGCTGTTCAGCATCACGGCTCGGTACCGTGACTTGGTTTCACAGCATCCGTACGTAGAGTTGCGTCAGGTGTCCGCTCAGAATAATTTTTTCAAATTATGACACAATCTCTTTTTTGCATTAAGTTCAAGCTTGACAATAGCGTAATAGTGATGTTGCTCTCGGTTTGAATGATGTCATTCTTTACGCCTTGAATGAGCTTTTCCTATGGTATCGTGCATTTTGATATTTTTTTTTCAGGTTAAACGACTCAAATTTGACTTCTCATGGAAGGCACAAATGCTCTCAACCGTCGTACCACAACATTTGCCGCTCAACCTGCCCAATCTCCATTCATTGAGTCATATTTTCTCTAAATTTACTCAATTTAAAATAATGGTTGGCACGTCAATTTTTATTATAAAATAAAATTTGTTTTTATTATATTTTAAAAATTTAAATTATTGAGTTTGCTAAAAAAATTAATAAAGCCTAACTAAATCAAATCATCCTCACTTCGAACCCCAAAATTCTTTTGAAAATTTTACAATTAGTATGCCCTAATTCTCGTTAAAAAAATATAATGTGTTATACTTTATTTAATATTTATTTTAAATTTTGGAATGAAGAAATTATTAATTTAAATTAAAATGTTGCCTTTATTTAAACTAAAATTAAATAATTTTTCTCATAAACTCTTAATATTAAACATAAAAAATAAGAACTTATTTTTTTTCAAGCATAGAAAATAAAAATTTTTATTTTCTAAATTATTCACAGTATAATTTTTTTAGCAACGAGTAACCGCTATCATATTAGGTCTTGTAAAATCTGAGCGAATCTGGATGTTTTTGGCCTGGCCTGACCAAAAATAATTGAGGATTTATGATTTTCGTCCATTATACTTCCTTTATGATAGGCATCTACGCTCGCTTCAGCTGAATCTAGTCCGTGAAGAGAACCCCTAAACCCTAGAATGGAAGTAGAAACCTCGAGTTCTTCGACGGCAAGCCTCGTTGACAAAGCCGTTGTAAGAGATATATCTCCGCACGACAATTTTTCCAATATGAAGTAGATCTTTTCTTCCATTGTTTGATGCTTTGAATTTTTAAATAGGTTCCTGGTGACATTGTTTTGGACCTTACGAGCATGTCTGATCAGACAATCAGGCTGGGAGCGGGGTTGCGCCAGGTGCTTATTAGATTAAGATTTTACTTTCTGTTATTGTGGACAAATGCATCCGCTTTCTAAACTTGCGTGTTTTCAGTACTCTGACGTGCTATCAGTGGTGAAGGCTGGGAAGCTTAAGTTCAAAAAGCCAAACAAGTACTGGGTAGAAAGCTCGCAAAAGAGAGTGAGTTATTGATGGAAAGTTTTGTTTCGTGAAATCGGAATTTTTGACTTAAACGCTCTAAAAATTTGGGTTTTGTTGTTGTTTTTGTTGGTTGCAATACCTGATAAACTGTAAAAGAAAAGAAAAAAAAAGGTAAAAAGAAGCATGTTCCCAAACTGAAGAATGTTTTTTTTCGCAATTCAGGACTAATTGTTTATGAAGTTATTTTTCGACCGTTGCATCTCTTAATACCTTACCCTGTTTTTGTTGGTGACCTTACAGTATGCTCCCTCTGTAGAAGATACAGTTCTTGGTATTGTTGTAGATGCCAGAGCAGATGTAAGCATTTCTTGTGCACAAATACTAGCAGATATTTTACGTTTATTTTTCTAGCCTTATGAACTTCTGTATATTTCCTCCATCTCTGCCTTCTTATACTCGACCTGTTAATATTATTCTTGACATGGATATGCTGTTTTATGTTGAGCAATCAATTTTGTTACATTATATAACTGTAAATGCAAAAAAACTTGGAAAACTGCTACCTTGCAGATGCTATATCTGATTGGGCGTGATTTAATCCAGATTCTGCTGGCTTGTATTGTTGTCTTGGTTTCATTAATCATTTGGATGCCTTTGTGGATGCTAAATCCCTTATTTATGAATTATATCGTTCTGAGCAATAAGATAAATTATTGCTAGTAAAAATTTTTCTATCGTTGCCTTTCTCTTTTTGTTTTTCCATGTTATAAGGTTGTTACCCATGAGGTGATTTCATGATTTATTTTTGTGGTTTCAGAACTTTCTAGTAGACATAAAAGGCCCTACATTAGCTTTTTTGCCTGTACTTGCATTTGAAGGAGGGACACGGAGAAATATACCAAAATTTGAGGTAGCACTGTCTTGTACTTTTGTGCTATAATGCTTCCTTTTAGTTTTTTTCCCTTGTTAAAATAAGTTTTTGTTGGTCTCTGTTTTGAGCAAATCCATCTTTTTTCGGATATAACATTTGAGTTTGTTTATGCAGTGTTACTATTTGTGTCACGTAAGACATAGGCCATTTGATGACCTTGTTGGAGAATAGATGTATTAGATCCGGCCTATATTAAGAAAGGTAGAGGCAGACGTAAAAAGACTTGGTTATAATATATTAAAAATGACTTATTTTATTAGATTTAAATGTGAATTTGACTCTTAATAGAATACAATAGAGAAAAAGGATATCGAGGTTTTCTAACATACTATATCAGTAATACTAGGGTTTTAGCGAACTCAGACATGGACAACGAGGTTTTAAGAAACCCTGGCATGTATCATGTATGCCAAGTTATTTGTTATTGTTTACAAAATAGGTGAATTATTGTCCCCTTATAAAGTTTATGATTATTTTCCTTTTTCAGAAAATGCCAAACTGTAGGGAGATTTATCTATATTAAATTCTAGATGATGAATAATCAGTATGATTTTGATGATATATTTAACATGCTTTATTTAAGTATGTTGACTGGTCATAAATTGACCTATAATCATTAGTATTCCTTATTAATCTAATCCATTTGTTTATATTCTTTGTTGTTTTCTTGTTTAATTTAAGGCGTGCACTTATTATTTTTGATCTGTTGCAGATAGGCACCTTGCTCTATGTTCGTGTTGTTAAAGCTAACTCCTGTATGAATCCGGAGTTATCATGCACTGATGGTAATTTGCTTTTGTTGTTTGATTTATGATAATACTTGATTATCTGGTATGAAACATGGATAGTGTGCTATGACTCTGGAAGGAATAATTATCTTGCATAAACTTCTAATATTATTGATAATAAAGAACATGAGATCATAGTAGTTTGAACATTTCATGTTCTGATCTGATTGACATTAATTTTCTCTTCTTCAAAACCCAATGTAAATTGATGCAAGAAAAGGATTTCCTTAATATTAATTCATTTAGATAAAAATGATTGTTCTTTATTCTAAATTAATCATGGGATATTTATGGTAGTCCTTAGTGTGAAACCCTTAAGTAAAATACGCTAAACTCTTAAATATTGAGGCGTTTTTTGGTGTAATAGTTGGGATTTCATTTAAGAAATTCCATAGTTAATCATGCTCATCCCAGAGAAATCCTGGGATGGATACCTCCTGTGAAGTTATAACAACATGACAAAATCGTGAGGCCCTTAGGTCAAAGCAGACAATATCTCGATAGTTAAGAACAATGTTTAAAATTGTGTATTCGGGTATTGAGGCGTTTTTCATTCGTGAGGCGAGGCTTAAGCCTCAAGGCGTTTTGAGGCATAAGCCTCAAAATCAAAAGATTGCGTAAACATAAAATGATAATTTTTTTATATACTAATGAGTGAATAATATAAAATATAAAAAAAACATAAGATATGAAGTGAAATCAAAATATCTCAATAATATGACAACATGAAATATAGTTCAACTCAAAATTCTATCTTTCCCAAATCCCAGTATTTTTTTCATTAACATATAATTCCAATTTCCAAAAATAAATAACAATGACATATCACATAAGAACTCATAAGTCATCAGCACTGTAATCACTAAGGGGTTCTTCATTTGAATCATCATTATGGTGAATTGCTCTCTCCCCTTCCTCCTCTCCGATAGAGTCCAATGTCAGACATTTACTTCAAGATTTATGTAAGTTTTAATATATATAGCGTGAGGCGTAAGCCTCATGCTTGTGAGGCGAGGCGGGCTTCAAGGCGGGCCTCAACCAAGTTGAGGCGCAAGCCTCATAAAAAGAACTCGAGGCGTTAGCATCGAGGCGTTTTTTACTGGAATTGCGCAAAGGCAGGCCTTATGGCGAGCCTCATATTGCGCAATTTTAAACCATGGTTAAATACAAATGATATCAGAGTAAATACACCAGCCGAAAGTTGAAAACTAAGTGCTATACAAGATAAAGTGCTACGCCATGTGAGACACCTTTTGAACCCTGTATAGGACAAATGCTACGTGGCGGGAGCCACTACTTGAACTTGTAGGGGCCATCTCTAAAATTCTATTTGTCTGGTGAATGATTATGGGGTAAGGATATTGACAAGGACAAGTGAGAGAGATTGTGAAATCTCTTAAGAAAAAGAAGCTAAACTCTTAATATCGAGGTGCTTTTTGGTGTAATGATTGAAATTTCATTTAAGAAACTCTGTAGTTAAGCGTGCTCATCCCGGAGAAATCCTGGGATGGGTGACCTTCTGGGAAGTTACAATAATAGGACAAAAGCTTGATGCCCTTAGGACAAAACAGATACTATATCTTAAGAATTTTGGCTGTAGCATTTAGCCTCATTAAATTTGCTCTTGAATTGCTTGAATTCTCCATCAAAATTTACCCCTAATTAATAAGGAATTGAATAAATGTGTAGAGAGAGAGAGAGTATAAAGAGAGAAAAGAAGAGATAGCCTAAGTGGGGATCCTTGAGTGTATAAGGAATCAAACCCTTGGGTTTGCACTTGGAGAGTTAGTTTGATGTGTTTATCTCTCAAGATCTAGGCTTGTGTAGTAGGAGAGATATAGAGGGAGCTATGGGAGGAGATAGAGAAGTGTGGAGATTAAGTATGAGAGAGAACTTGGTAGAAAGAGAAAAGTTCGTAGGGGAGAAAAGAAAAGATATTGATTCCAGATTTATTCATAATAATTAATTATTTACACTGCTTCATATTCATATTTATAGAAATAGGGTTTTATGGATAATTTAAATTAATTTAAATGTAAATCTTGGTTAGTGAAGAGATAAATCCAATAATTAGAATAATCATTAAGAAAAAATGATAATTCTAATTAATATTTTTTTTCATGAAAACTTAATACTAAGGTAAAATTGCTAAAAAAAATATGAAAATAATTAAGAGTTTTTTGGGATCACTTTTTAAATTTATTTTTAATGATTTGATATAAACTAATAGAATATTTGATATTTTATTAAGTATAAGTTATATTTGTTTTTGGGGTCGGTGGTGGAGGTCGATGACATTAGTGACGGGTGGTGGCGGTGGTTGGCAGCAGTGGGCTTGGGGTTGTTTTTATTTTGGAAATAATGAGAACTTTTAAAAACACCTAACATTATTTTTACTATTTTAAAAAGAAGCTTGATTTACTTTCAATAGGAAAAAAGAAAAAAACATAGTTGAAAAACAAATACTCTATTTTTAAAAATAAAATGAAAATAAAATTGATCCCAAATAAGCTGTACATAAATCATAATAATTTTGATGCATCTCTTGTAATGCATCAACTCTCTTAGCTTTTATAAAACTCTTACCCTAACGATTCATACAAAAGCGAATTCTTGAAAGTCTTGCTTTCATGAAGGAGGTGGTGGTTGAATTATTTCATGACTCTTATATCATCAACATGTAAAATATGAACTTTGAACGCCTAAATTGGGATTTGGAGGCTTTGGTTCTACTCATTTTCATGCACCATACAACTTTCTTAGATTAATAATATGAGCAAGGATATTGTAGTCAAATGGTGATGGTGGTTGTGGTAACAAGAACTTAACCTATATTCTTGGCGAGTAAGCATTAATTTTGTAATATTTGGAATAACATATATATATATATATGGATAAGAATCTTGTAGGAATGCAAGATATGTTGATCAACATGTTTCTCTATCTTAAAGTTTTTTTGTTTAATAGTGGTGTGATAGGAAACATTTGTAGAACTCATGTCAAACTTATCAATAATGGAATTTCAGCCTCCATCACAATTTTCCCAACAAATCACAAAAAACAGCAAGAAACAACGTAAATATTGATGAAATCAGAAGGAAAATACCAAAATACAATTGATCCTCAATTCGAGAGGAGGATCTATCTCTCTCAACTCTCTAGACGCTGCTAGAGCCCAAGAACACCAACGTACAAACATAATTTAACAAAATCAAGATAACCCTAACCCTAATGCAAACCCTTCTACTTAATGCAAATACAATAATATCCCAAAAGACTAAACAACCCTCTCTAATTCAAATTTCCCTCCAACCGCCCCATTCTCTCTCTTCTTTAAACTATGGACCCCACCCCCACCCCAAGGGGGGAGCGGGTTCTTCCCTGGGCGGAACAACAGGTTTCCGCCTGCTGTAAATCAAGGGCCGGCTGGACCGGTCCCTCTTGGACCGGTCTATCATGGTGCAAATGACATGTTCATCTTACAATAAGGTTGAGCATGATCTCATATCTACACTAAAGAATTACCTTAGATAAAACCTTAGAGCAGATTCAATAAGAGGTTCAATTACTGATAATTGATCTTCATCATCATTAAGCTCATCAGTGGAAGTTAGATCATTATAATATTAATCTTCAAAGCCCAAATCCACATAAGGTTCAAACTTTTGAATAGGTAAAGGTGGCCTGTGTCTAAACTTCTTGAATTGATAGGTTTTTGAATCTTCAAAGCTCAAAAAATTAGTGTATGATATGATTTGCTGTCATGATAAGATAGTTTTGGATGAATATGGATGGGGTGATTATATGTATATCAATCATACAATCTATATTGATGATGATATTTATATTTTTTATGATAAACTATGATATTATAATAACATTGATAAGAATTAAATGAATCGATGTTGTTTCCTTGAAAATGAATTATTAGGTTTATGAGATTGCTGGGTTTGGAATGATTGACATTAAATTGATTCTAATATAGAATTTATTTGAATATGTAATTAATATTGTTGGATTCATAGGGACGGGCATGATCTCATATTTAGACTTTCTATTCATATTTAGACAATCTCATATTTAAGCTAAAAAATTGTCTTAGGTAAAACCTCAAGTTTAAGAAGACATCTCAGTCTCATGGTGCAAAAGAATGAGATAATAGTGACCTAAGGCCTTAAAATCTCTTATAAGGTTGGGCACAATCACATTTTTATGCTTAAGGATAGTCTAAGGTAAATCCTTAGGCTTAAGCTCAACAAAAGGCTTGATTATTGATAATCATCATCAACAACTAGCTCATTAGCGAAATCAGTATCATCACAATACCTCAATACCAAAACCAATATAAGGATTTGTTTTTGAACTAGTGGAAGTGATAGTAGCGCTTGACTTTTTGAGATTGATATATTGCATTGGGACGTGCATGTGATCATATGTATGGTCATCATTCAATTTATATTGATGATGATATTTATGTTCTTCATGAGGCACTCAATCATCATAAGAATATTGATAATGATCATATTTTGCAACATTGGTATTTGTGAAAAATGAAAAATGAGGCCAATGAGATTGATGTTGATTGGAATGATTGGCATAGAAATGATTGTAATACGGCTCATTACAAAGTTGTAATATGGAATTATTATTCTTGGATGTCCAAGGTTGGAAATGATTTCATATTTAAGCTCAATAATTCTTTCTGATCGGGCATAATCTCATATTTAGGCTCAACAATAGTCTTGTAGATAAAACCTCAGTTCAAGAAGACAACTTTTACAGAAGATTGAGATAGCAGTGGCAAATGATAGCTCAATCTCATAATAAGATCAGGCATGATTTTTTATTTAGACACAAGAATAGTCTTGAGTAGGTTTAAGCTTGATAAGAGGTTCAATTACTTATCATCATCATCATCTAATACATTAACAAATTCCAGATCACCATTATCATCATCTAGTATAGTAGAAATGTAGAATCCATATCATCACAGTGAT